CATACCCCGTCCGGTATGGGCGCCAAAAACCATGAACCTCAATACCCCGTCCGGTATGAGGGTGAAACGGGCCGTCCCCATACCCCGTCCGGTATGGGCGCCAAAACTATAAACCTCAATACCCCGTCCGGTATGAGGGTGAAACGGGCCGTCCCCATACCCCGTCCGATATGGGTGCCAAAACCATAAGATCTCCATACCCCGTCCGGCATGTGAGACCACAATCCCGGTAGGGTTCTCTACGGACCTGGTCCGTCCACCATCTCCCAGGATATCTAGTTAGGCTGACCCTCATAATACAATTATCAGTCTACACAATCTTTCATTTTCCTTTTCCTCAGTCAGCATCATCAATTCACATACAAACAAGCAAAACAGTAATTCATGCCGAACAGACAACATACAGTATCAGTTTTTCAGTCATTCAACCCATGATTAATAAAAACGTAGTATTTGCACACAAATCTATAAAATGAACACATCAAACCTCATTTTGCATTTAAAGCTGTAAACAGGCTAAATAACAGTAAATCACCAATCACACTAGACTCGGGCTCCATTAGCCACCTTAAGCAATTTCACACATTCGTTAATTCAAGAAATACCGTTTTATCATTTTGAACTTTAATACCGTGATAGGAAATAGGGTGAGGGGTCCTTACTTGTTTTCGGGATCCGAATACGATTCACAGTGCGCCTGCAGGCCGTCCCTAATTTTCCCTGAATTTTTCCCGGGGAACTGAAACACACTAACAGTACCTGCACGTGTTCAAAAAAAAATCCAAATTAGGCCCAGGGCCCTTTTCGGACCAAATTGCAACTCCGGCACGGCGGCTCCGCCGTGCTCCGGCCAGCGGCGGCGAGTCACCTCGGGTTGGCTGTTTTCGGCCGAATTCGGCCACACTCGCATTGGTCCTTGTCAGAAAACAACCCTAGGGCCCTCGGGGGGCCAAAAATCACGGAAAAGCGGAGCTTACCGGCGGCGGCGCTCTCGGGTACGGCGGCTCTCCGGCGAGGTTCGTGTTTTGGTGATTCGGCTTCGGTCAACCTGTAGAGAAAAGAATGGTGATCACGGTGATATAAAAATTGCATCGAACGGAGGCCGGGAAGGACCTCGTCGGAGGCAAAAACCGAGAGGGGCGCGGCGGCGCCGCTGGGTTTCGGCCGCGTATTCCGGCCGTTTGGCCGGGATTTCGGCCTCAATTTGGCCATAGGAGGAATCAGCGGAGAAAAACGAGTCGGGGGTATGAAATTTACCTCGATCGGCGGTCGAAAATTTCCCCGGTGCGGCGGCGGGTGGCGGCGGTCGGCCTCTGGTTCGTCTTCTCCGGCGAGCGGCGGGCGGCTAGGGTTTGTGGTCTGGTGTGGGGGTTCTATTTATAACCCCTTGCCTTTTGATCACAGCCGTTCATTTCGTTTTAATCTGGGCCGTTCGTTTTTTATTGAATATGGGCCGTCCGTGCGATTGAATCTGGGCCGTCCGATCGCGCGATTGATCTGGGCCGTCGGATCGCACCCACGCGGATCGCCAACGTGGCTCCTTTCGGAGTGACGCAGTCTTGCCACGTGGCAGGCCCCGGTTGGCCGGGACTGCTGACCGGGCCTGCTGACGTGGCTGCTGACGTGGCCCCCCCTTTTTTTTTTTTTTTTTTTTTTTCCTCCTTTCCGGGTGCTACATTTTTTGTTTACTAATTTATATTTCTTCATTTTTGTAAAATGTTATGACAAAGTTATTAACGTAATTGTCGGTGATATACAAAGTTATAAATTTTTGTAAGAGTTATAATCTGTCTCCCTCATTGAGCACTCAGCTTAAAACCATATACGAGGCAAGTATGTATAAATATTAACCTGTTCTTTACGTAAACGATAACCCTGCATTAATATATGACATGCAAATGCAAAATTTTTCCATGTGCATGTAACTGCTGTACGCATATTAAAAAAAAATGAAATTCATTTAGGTATTAAATTAAAATAATAATATTTATTTAATAAAGATATTATTGTACATATAATTTAAAGATTTTTTTGAATTTAAGATCTTATTGTGCCTCGAATCATCGGTGACAAAACTAATGAAATTGTTATAGAGTTAAACGATTGAAATCTTTTTGGCATTAAAATTGACAATTTCTTGACTATGATTCAAATTCTTCATAGAATTAATAAAATCAATCTCATATTTTATATTAAGAAACAATTTATTTGCTACTAGATTGAAAAATTAAAAGTGTCTTTTTTTTTTTACACCTATTTATGTTACCTCGTTACATCAAAGCAAGAGATTCCATTAAATCACCTTAAGAAGTCATGATAGAAATTATATTAGAAAAGAGAATAATTGATAAATACTTAATATACTGCAACGATAATGTTATACGAACTTAATTTTAGGTTTGAACTGATTCAGTATACAAAAAAATTTAAAATTATGGTCGTAATAAACACATATGAAAGATTAATTTGGAGCCTTGAAGCATACAATGCGTAGTTCATAAAGATTGAAGAGAAGATAAATGAAAGATTGAAAATTTTCTCGTTTATTTGGTGAAGTTTAATAAATTGGCTAAAAATAAATTTAAAAAAGAATCTCAAAATTATAAATTTAAAAATTATTTAAAAAACATAATATCTTCAAATTATTCTTTTATTAATTAGAATTCTGAAATTTTTTAAATAATAGTTCAGAAATAAGATTTGGTAGTTATGTGTAAAACATTATCCAAAATGGTTTTCTATAGTTTACAAAGTTATTAAAAAAAAAATGATTGAAACAAAAATATTAAAGTTTTCCTGAAAATTATTTTTGAAATAATATTTTAAATTTTTATATTGAAAATAATTTTTAAAAATGCAAATTTCTTTTCTTTTTTTTTTTAATTTAAAAAAAGGAGTAAAAAATAGATTGCACAATTGTAAAGGAACTTTCGTGAATATTCAACAGACTAATAAAAAATAAAAAAAAAAAAAAAAAAATTGACAGACTTGTCAATAAATTTGATCCTCAATTCTGATTTCATTATAAAAAATTCAAAACTTAACTATGCCACTTGTGCATTATTTTGCAAGCTTCAGATGTTACCAAAGCCCAGATATTGGCATCCTCCTCTTCTCAATCGCTTCGGATTTTAAGTTCATATTTCAACAAATGCAAGTCCTACCTTTTATCATCATGAACTTAACCCTCCCTTCGATTCTTTTTGTGCATATGAACTTTTTGTCTTTTAATCCTCCATCAAACAAGCAATTGTAGTTTCATCACATGTAGGCCCAATTTCAATTTAATTTGTACTGTACCTCACCTAAAGAGAATGGCTTGGCCCGTAATCTACTTTGTTAGCCTTTGTACACACTATATATATCTTACCATTTCTTAAAAAAAGTTAGAAACTATAATTACACTTCTAATGAATTTTTTTTTTTTTTTTTTTAAAGAATAATGAATTGGAATCTAATTGAATTATACTTTTCCAACTCCAATAATCTATTGGGTTCGACTTTGGAGTTTTCTCTCAAACAGACTACTGTTGGGGCAGTAAATACATTTTTCAAGTTTCTATCATTCTCTCGCGATAACTAGCTCTGATGCACAGAGCAATAACTTCAAAACCCAGGAACAAATCAGTCGAAATATACCTAAAAGCAAGAATAAGAGCAGCAGTGAAATGGGATCGTATTTTTCAATGAGATCAGTGGGCGCCGTTCTCCACAGATTCTTCGATGGGGTGTCCTCAAAATGCCCCACCAATTCGTTTTCTCCGGCAGGCACTGCTCTGCTATATAGGATCCTGTTATAGTTTCTATCAACTCTATCACCGCATATATATCTTACGAGGTAATATGACTTACGATAATACGTTAGACAGTATTCTTCTGATAAATTATGGTGGGATTTACGTGTGAGGTAGGTACGACTCAGAATTTTACTTGCCCACCAAATGTTTGATGAAAATCCCCAAAAAAGTTGTTCCAATATCAATGGGTCTATGCCGTGTTTCTTTTAGGCGTAGAATAGGCTTTGAAGAGAATAAAATAGTTGATGTCATCCTTGTTGTTCAGCATGTAGTATTCTGTCAACTGAGGTGCTCTGTAATTTGCTTTTGTTTCTTCTTTCCAAATCAACGAGAACATAGCATTTTCTGCATTTTTCTTATGTAGTATGGGGTGCTTATATCCAAATTACTTAAACTTGATGATGTTGATGCCATATACACAGACCAGAAATGATAAAAATTCATGTCTCCTGTTCCTCCTTTGGCAATTCAATTGAGTAATGGAACTGTCAAATATAGCTGACTCCATTAAAAAAATTTTGCTGTGGCCTTGCAAGCAAAACAGAAAGATCGTTTATTGTTGCTCCGGTCAGCTGGGTCTTAGGCGGCAGCTTTTTATCTTTTCAACTACTTTTTTATATTCCCAATTTTTATATTTTTCTTAGTTTTGAAGTTGATGGAAGATTTATCTCTTGCTGCTAATAGTTGAGAAAGCTATTTGTTCTTGTTTACTGGTCTTCTTGTGGTAATTTGTTTTGGGAAAGTTTATTTATGGCATACAACAAATGAATGTTGTAAAATATCCGAAACCTATATGAAACATGGTTTCTAGTTAATAGTTGAACATGCGTCTCAAGAAGGTGATCGACGAAAGTGCTGCAATCTTTTGGACTGAATTCTTATCATGAACACTATTAAAGGTTTAGGTTGTTTTTTCTTCAGGCATTCAGTTGCATATTTAACATCCTATTGGGAAGCACATAATTGAAAGACACTGATAAATCTTAATCAAAAGACTGCCAAACTAGTAAGTTCTTGATCGGACACAAAAATTTTACCTATTTTTCACCGTACAGTTGCTATACATCGTGGTGATTAATATTCTAGATATACGCAAAAATCAAGCAGGCAAATGACCTGCATGTTTGGAACTTTTATCAATATATATGTATAGATGTGTCGGTGTAGCTCTTGATTATGATGAAACTATTTGATTTTAGTGATCTATTTCTTAGGAACCCAGCAGCCATGCAAGCCATATGGTAGGCCGTAAGGGAATTTTGCTCTTGCAAGTTCTTCAAAGCTGGATCCATCTAGTAGCAATGCATAGCCTCCGCCATTATTTTGACTTACCATGGAGATCACCACGCCTGCAGCAACAGACAAATGCCAAAATTTGATGACTCAATTTGTTTTGGTTAATTATAAGTGTATGCATTTTGTGAATTATTAATCATTGTGGTATAGACGTTTTACACACTCTCAACAGACATGAACTCACCATCATCTTCCTCTGTTGCGCCAGGTCGACTCACAAACAATGGTTCGGAGGGAATTGCACCCTCCTCGTACCAATTATTGGCCTTTTTCTGTACTAAATCAAGCTGCAGCATGTATATAATATACTATTATTAATGATTAACATCACAATCAGCATGACTAGTATGATTTTGGTCAAGAAAGTAGCTAATTAGGTGGATAATTCGCAAAGCAATATTCTGCTTTTACTGAAAATATGAAGAAACTCAGATTGCTGGTATGCGTACCTTAGTTAGGGTATTAGGGAAATTACAAGGGCGCTGTGCCCCACAGGCATAAGCATATCTGTATTTTTTGCCCAAATAGTTAGGGTTAATGCTGCACATATCTATGCCTCTGCCATGCTCATTTGGGTCTAAAGCTGCCTCCAACTTCCCACAAGGACTCCCATGAAATGGTATTATAAATCTCCCTACCCTGTTTTTCCAATTGCACCATCAAAATTTAGACCCAATTCAGCTTATAGAAACCAAAAAAGTTAATCTTCATTTTACACTAAAAGAGAAGAAAATTTGGTTGGCAATGTAGCTTTTCTTTTCGAAAAAATAATTTAAAATTATAAATAAGTACTTATTTCTGTAGTTAATTAAGAGATAATGAATTCACATGAATATATAGTACAAACCTAGCATCTGGCAATATATCTTGACCAGAAAGTGAACGTAACTTTTGTAAACGAAGTTTATCAAGAATGCTAGTATCTGCATTGTGTTCACAACAATCGGAGACCACGCCTATCACCCTCCCCTCCTCATCAATCTCTTCGTATGCATTGATGAAGTGGAATGTTATATACAATGGTACTTCTACACTTGTCACCTTTTAATATTATAACAATTTAATTAACACATGTATAATCAATCTAATTAAACTCATACTTAAATTTCAAAAAACCAAAATTACATTGCTAGAAAGAGAGAGGGAGCTTACAATTTTACCACTAGCCTTGGACATGACATGCATAAAAGCTTTGGAGTTAGGGTGCCATTCGAACTTATAGAGCGGTGTGGGTTCAGCCTTAAGCAAATTCTTCGCACAATATCTTAATGGCATTTCAGGTATAATGATGTAATGCTCTGTAACTGGGAATGAATGGACCCAACCGGGACTTGGACCACCACGACAGTTGACACGACCTATTACCTTCCTCTCATTGGATCCAACCTCCATTCTTGCCACCAAGTATCCCGGATTTACCAAATCGGGCAATAATGTCAAAAATTCTGTATCTGTAACTATTGGATGAGCCGAGTGGAGCAATCCACCTAATAAGTCACTATATTCGAATTTTCCAAGCGTTTCAAGGGTGTCAGGATCGATAATTATTGAACCTTTTTGGGTCTCTGTTAGGCAAACTACTCGACCATCACCTAACTTCACAACACCAGTATTAGCATTGTCAGTCAATGATGCGCCAGAAAGGAGTTTGGCCAAGTTTCCTATATAATTCAAGAAATTTTTTGGTTTTGGTGCTTCTGAGAATTCTCTGTAACAAAGCTTGTTGTTTTTCTTTGCAGCCTTATAAGCCTCTGATTCGATCTGCCGATGACCAGCCACTAAATGACCATTCTGGAACTGGAGCTTGACAATGGTGGCATACCCATCAAACAGGTGCCGAAAATTATAATCTCCTATATGCCACATACCAGGGCCATTCCTTAAATAAGTGCCATTCTGCATTTAATTGGTAATACATGAAGTGTTAAATGTGCATGTTGACACTCTCGGCAGATTAAAAATAATGAGTATCTGTCAATACGAGAGTAACAAACGATAAATACTATCAGAACAATTCTGCAAACTCAATTCAGATACGACAATGGAAATGAGGGATCCACAAAATTGGAATCATCATCTGTAGGGATTGGCAGTGTATGGACAAAATTGGGATGTTTTACTTTTTATGTTTTACTTGTTTTAATCCAGAACTAAATTAAATTATACCAGGCAAGGGTAGTATAAATACATACATACACATATATATGTCTATAGAAACTTGACACATCTGAAAATGTTTTTAATCATTTTAATAGACGGGTGAATACTACTTTTAAAAAAAAAAAAATTAAAAAAAAAAATTAAAAACTAGATGGTAGAAAAATCGATACATCTGAGAATGTTGTTAATCATTAATTTAATAGTTAATTAAATAATTAGCCACATTCTCCTACAATATTTAAAATCTGACAACATGGAATATTCTGCCTTAATTCCTACATCTAAATATAATATTAATCACCCTCTTAAAGAAAAAAAAAAAAAGAAGAAAGAAAACACTCCACTTCCCCAGCGAGCACTCAGCTTAAATCAATATAGGAATGCATATATGTATATATAAACAAATATCAACTGTTCTTTATGTAAATGATAGCCCTGCATTAATATATGACATGCAAATGCAAAATTTTCAATGTGCATGTAACTGCTATATGCATATGTATTTCATATATGTTTTTATGTATATATGCACGTACAAACGTACCAGCCACAATGGTATTTCTCCTTCAACTGCGAGCTCTCCCTCCCATCGCTCTTGCCGGACACTTGTCCATGCAACGTGATTCCGGTTACCCATTATTTCGGTCTCCAGTGATGGAGCTCCGACTACAGGCAACTGCGTAGCAACCTTGGTGATGGTTAAGTCTCGTTTCGAAGATACGCTGTTTCCTAAGGGAAAACCATATTTTATGTAATCACAAGGGTGGTTAATCATATTTGGGGGAAGAATATTAGCTGAAAAATGAATGGAAGCCATGGGACATATATATATATATATATATATATCTATATATATCTCTCTCTCTCTTCTTGGAGGACGTAGCTAGAAACTGTAATGAAGAATGTGTTAAAAGTAACACGAGAGTGCAAGATATATTTATAGGGAGAGAAAGGCTTTAACTAGTACTAATTTGAGCTCTGGAGCAGAGTGAATGGAATCTTGTTTGTGAAATTCTATCCCACTATAAGACAACTTTAAGCTATAAAAGTTTTATGAATAATGGTAGTTGTGTGTTCGGATCGTATGTGTGTCACATAGTCTAGGAGTGTGTTGCCTTAAATTTTAATATTTAATGTCTACCCAACTGGGAATTATTTATTTTTCTTAAATAATTTGTCTTTGTTTGATAAGAGTATTATATAAAAGTAGTACTTATATGAAATTTAGTTCGAGGATTGTTTATTTGCATTAGGATTTTTTTTTTTTTTTTTTTACCCTTTTTCACTTCACGGATTTCAAAATAAATTACAAGTTTTTTAATGATAATTTACAACACTGAGATTTTGTAATTAGAATTATTTTAATGGATTCATAAATCTTATATCACTTAAAATTTATTGTCGTATAAGAAAAATTTATCATATTTCTCTCTTCATTTTCACATATAATCATGTTTGTAGATGATTAACTTTATTTTAATATATTAAAAAATTATAAATTATATTTATGTTTTATTTATTTATAATGGCTCGTAGAAAAAAAAAGTTTTAATAAATTGCAAAAATAACATTAAAATAACATGAGATTCATTTAGTTATTAAACTAGAACAACAGTGTTTGTTCAACAATGAATAAAATCTTAAATTAGTGAACCTTAACTAAAACAAAAAGACATAAGTTTATTTGAAAATAATATAATTATAAAAGGCGAAATTATAAGTTACCTATAACATTTTTTTATTTATTTGGAAAAAATATATATCAAATTTTTTAAATGCTTCACTATGGGAGAAATAAATCATCATTTTGCATATTCTAATTGAATAAAGAAGATGATTGATTAGTTGATGAGTATGTACCAAAAAAAGATATGGATGAGGATGATGAAGAAGAGGAAGCAAATCGACTTCCCCTAAGGGTTTGCCTAATATTGTTTCTTTCTTTATGTTTTGTTATTAGTCGTAATTGTACTAAATAAAAAGATTATTTTACATACATTCTAAAGATTTATTTTGAATTTACGACTTTATCGTGTTTCGAATTTTAGATGGGAAAGCTAATAAGATTGCTATAGAACTAAGTGATTAGAATCTTGTTCGTATTGAAGTTAACGATTTCTCTATTATGATTAAATTTTTTTTACATAATTAATAAAATCAATATCATATTTTATATTAAAGAATAATCTATTTGTTGCTAGATTCTACTTTTTTTTTTTGCAACTATTTATGTTAATTCTTTGAATAAAAACACGAAACTCTATGGGGTCATCTCAAGAAGTCACGATAGAAGTTATATTGAAAAAAAAAAAATTGATTTTGATAATTAATAAATACTTGATACGCTATACCAATAATACTTATATGAGCTTGTTTTAGGTTTGAACTTATTCATTATAGAAGACAATATAAAATCATGGTCATAGTAAACACATATGGAAAATTTCAAAAAGAATAATTTTTTTGGAGCCTTGAATGAAACATACAATGAATAGTTCATGAAGATTGAAGAGAAGATAAAGGGAAAGATTGAATGGTGATATTTAGTAAGATGAATAAAAATAAAATTAAAAATTCTTAAAACATTTTAATTTCTTAAAACTATTATTTTATAAATTAAAAATTTGAAATTAAATCAGGTCGGATAATATCGCGAACAAAAATGTCTTTATTGATCTTGACTGAAAGTCTTGCTAACCTTAACCTTAAATAAGAAAACAAAACAGAAACGAAGAAGCAAAAACAAAAGTGATAACACAGGATGAGATTGGTGCATGGTAGCCATGCATGCACAGTAGTTAATTGTTGAATTCTATGGAAGAAGAATACATGATGGAACGCCAAATTCATCAAGAAAAATTATACAAAATAAGTAAGTCTAAGGCTTAACTAGGCTCAAAGACAAAGGAGATTTTCCGAGACAATTTTTGGTAGCAACACAATCAATCCGTTTGAATTTTGAGAAATTTGTCTCTTCATTTTTAGTTGGCCGAAAAACCTACCAACACCAATTAATTATACATAACATTATTAAAATCTTGAAAAGTAGGTAAAACAACTCCTAATTGAGAATGACGATTTACTAATCCCAAAAAAAAGTGTGTAAGGTCAACTATTAATAGTTTATCTAAATACAGTGAAGATGAACTTAAATCTCAATATATATATATATAGCACTAAAAATAAATAAAAATTAAATACCAACTTTTTTAATTGTATAACTTTCAATTTCTATTAAGAACAAAATATAAATAAAATTAAAAGAATTTTGTTTTTCTATTAAAATATGCACAGTAGCATAAGAATGTTATAAATCAAAATAATTTTATTAAATCAAATCGTAATCTTTAACGTATACGACAAATAAATTATGAATTAAAATAATAATTTATTTTTTTTAAAAAAATAATGATGAGCAGAATAAGAAAATGGAAGAAGAAGAAGAAGAAGAAGAAGAAGTGCAACATATCTTGCCGTCCAAAGTGGAAATGAAAAATTAAAAGCCTACAATGCAATAATGATGCTTTCCATGAAGAAAATGCAGCCAAAAAAGAAAACTCCATGGTTTCTTGTTTCATATAATTAGGGTTTTTTCCTAGTCCATACTTGTTTTGGAAAGTGGAAGGCCCAGGTTGCCACTTCATAACTATACAATTAGTTATATTAATGGAGTAGTGTCTAATGCTGCTGAGTAGCTGACAAGTAAGCTGAGGGTCCATCTGTTTCCCACATTTAATTTATTTGCCATTCTGGGGTTTTCGAAATCCATAATATAAACTTCTTCCATCTAATGTGTTTCACCTGCAAAAGCTACAATACGAATACTTGTCGACAAGTCAGATTTGGGAAAAAATACAAGGAGTTATTTCTTGTGAAATAGTAAAATTTGGTGATTAGTTTTTTTGGAGTTCAAGTCAATAAAATTATAGGAAATGTAATGGTTACATTGATTTCTATTTTGAAACTTGTAGCAATATCTCTCTTACTTGAAATTTTAATAATTAATACTCTTACTCTATGTTAGAGAATACAAATGTTCTCTATAATCTTAAAAATAAATGATTAAAAGATTTAATCAATATCAAAATCTAGTTTTAAACAATTTTATAGCATTCAAAAAGTTGAATTTGTGATAAGTTTTAATAATACAAGTATAAAAGTGTTCGTTATAAACTAGGAGATACATTATGCGCATTCCTTGCACAATACACAACTATTGAAATCCATTTAGAACAAACCCATTGAGGACTACCTCGAAGAAGCCAAATTACTTTTAAATGAATGCACCTACAATAGGTAGACCTCTCTCTATAGCAGAGTTCAATTTAGTGATCTTTCAAAATCATGGATCCAATTATCATCCTTTGATCACCACTCTTAATCTTCAAACTACCCCAATATTGTTTCACGGACTATATGGATATGACATTGCTCATGAAATCCTATTGAAATCCCTTCATGACCTTGCCATGAGATATATGCAAATTTAAAGAATAATAAAACCAATGATATTAGTTTTTCTAATAGTATCAACTTCAACAAGTATTAGTTTGCTATTGTCAAACTTATGAATTACACAATTATATTGCAGATCATTATTAAAAGCAGTACAACCCTAAAACTCAATCTAAATCACAAACAAATACTACAAAGGTAAATAACCATAATTTTTATCTTAGGAGTTCTCTAACTTTAAGTCTTGATTCAAACCATTTTCTTAGATCATCGTGACAAATCTAATTCTCAAGCACTCATACCACACATCATATGACCCTAGATCTCTGCAGTCTCCTATAACTTTGAAATACAAGGGTACCAACTAATTGTATGTGGATAATAAAAAAGGTTTAGATATTCTTCATACTTATAACAAAGTCTTTCATTCTAACTATGAGCATTTAATTGTTAAAAACTTATTATAAAGAATCTTCTTTCTTTAAAAATAATAATTATTTTTGAAAATCTTAACTTCTCTATTTTGTTTACGTGAGACTACGTCATAAAGAAGATCCTCTAACAATGATTAACCGAGGAGGATGGACTTCACAAAATTTTCACCACTGAATCATCTAATGCACTTCTTGCTACTTAAATGTTGTTTGATATATTAAAATTAAAATTACTCTGTTATAATTTTTTGAAAAAATAAGAGTCGATCAATTTTAAATAAATAATTATTATACATATTAACATAACATGAAATAATTTTTTTATTATTACGATGGTGTCAACAGTCAAGCACAAGAATGCAAAGAAAACATGAAAGGAAATGGTAAGTGAATTATTTGTTTTATTCTTATTGTATTTCTAAGAACATGATATGAACTCAACAATACGTAGTTTGTTTATATTTTCTAATTTCTCATAATTGAAAATTACACTAGAATTTCTACTTGAGCATTATCACATTCATCCTCGGGCATTATAAAATGAAAGCCAAGAACAATCAATCATACACGCCAAACCATGTAAGCATGAATAATTTAACACCAACTTGCAAAACATCGACACTTACGGCCGAATCATCACTGCAAATCCTTCTTGTAATCATTGCTTTTGCTGGTCCCTCCACTATCTAATCACATTATTAGTTTAACTTCAAGAGGCTTAATGTTCATTAATTAATTGATTAATTAATAAATTTTTGGTTATCGTGGGAAAACCCTAATTTTGTCTGCCACAATTCACCTATTATGTCCCCATTTGGGTGGTTTTTTGTGGGAATCAACCAAAGCATATTACCAACATTGCCAATTAGAAATCTCTTCAATATTC